CGGATCCGTTTGCGAACTCAATAAAACATTTGATTCGCAATCGGATCGGATACGGAGCTCGCGAACGGACAGGATACGGATCAATCCGAATAATGTACTGCTATTTACTGTATGCGGTTCCTATTTCAACCGCGCGCGAACGCGGAGCGTCCGTAACGGATTGTTCGCGAATCACCTGTGGAGCAGGTAAAGAGATAGGCAGCAAGGTTCAGTGAGAGAAGAAAGTGAAAAATAAGTGAAAGGTGGGGAGAGGAGGAAAAATAAACTTTCTGGTGGTGGTAATTTGATTTGATTTGATTTGATTCAGAGTCTACTACCACTTCACATGATTTGTGTTGTTGTTACATCTCCTGGAAACCAGTTTCTCTTTCCCTAATTTCAAGTATTTTCATTTCTACATAATCCCATTAAGAATTGAGTAGGGCATAGTTAAAATTCCAATGATTAAAAGGCGAAACAATGAAAAATCATTTATCATGCTTTTCAGATTACAGTAGTTTTGGTTCTGGGACCTCCGGACACGAGTCCTTGTTGCCTGCCAACATAATAAGCCTGAAATCAAAAAAAAACTTGAAATTTTCGAAAACTTTATTAAAATAGCAATAATGTTGATAAGGACACTATCCTCTGACGTCTGACTGAGTCGAACAGCTGTCATTTTTCCTCGAAAATATGTATTCCATGAATGACCAAGTTTCCCATGCTCCGTTGTGGTCTAGTGGTTAGGATTTATTGCTCTCACCCATAAGGCCGGGGTTCGATTCCCCGCAACGGAAGATTTCTTTTTTCAGAATTAAGAGAAAAATAAAATAAAATCGAGGATGAATTTATTAGAAATTTCGAAAGAGAATTAGAATTGGGCTCATTAGAAAACTGAAGCATTCATGACTGCAGAAAACTAAAATTCCTAGTTTTTTAGAATTTCAAAAGTTCTGAAATTTTAGGATTTCGAAGTTATTTCTGGAATTTTTGGAATTTTTGGAATATCGGAATGTCTGAATTTTTCGAAATCCAGATTTTTTTGGAAACTTCATAAATTTAAAAAAGTTATTTGGAATTTTCTATGTTTTGGACATTTGGAAGCTTGCGGAAAAATTTTTTTTTCGAAAATGTTGAAAATTTGGAATTGGAAAATTTAGAACTGAAATTTGGCTGAAAATGCCTTAAAACTTCCCCTTTTTTCCAGCTGACAAAACATTGAAAACACGATTTTTTGGTTTTTCTTATTTTTATTGAAATCATAATTATATCATTAAAAAATACAGTATACAAAAAAAATACAAAAATGGCTTAAACTACAGTAAGACATAGAATACCATCATTACCGGGAACGGGAACAGAAGAAACGCCTGCGGGGAAATTACGAAAGCTCAGAGCAGTCTAGAAATCTTCTAAAATAGCCGAAGATTTTCCTAGTTCACGGCCATACTGCCGCATATACTGCCGCACATTTTCTGGAGTCATTTTTTGGAATTTTAATGATAAAGGAATGCTGAAATACGAAATTTCAGCATCAATTCATTTTCAAAAAACCCAAAAATCACTGAAAACGGATAGTGGTCATGTGGCGGTGGCCTAGGAAAATCTTAGGCCATTTGTGTATTTTTGTTTGGAGATTTAGAGATTTTTAAAATTTGATTTTTTTCAAAAAATAAACTGATTTCAGGCCGTTTTTGGCCAATTTTTTTTATTAATTTTTCTTATTTCTTCAAAAAAAGACTTACATGTAATGCCTGCACATATTGGCTATGCGCCTCCTGCTCCTTGGCAAAATGCCATGTGTCTGGGTACATATCCAGGTATGCAGGGTCCTCTGGGTGGATGAATTGACGTTTTGGGCCATATCGGCAGTGACCACATCCGAGCCTCCCATAATTTTTGCACAGCTGAGTTTTGTAATTCGGCTGAAAATTAGGGAAAGTTAGGGAAAAAAACTTGATAAAAAAGAGAAAATTACCTAATTCTGGATGCAAAATATATGTAGATATCCTCTCCTCAGATTTTTTATTCTCTGAAAAAAAATTTCTGAAAATTTAGAACCCTAAAAATCCCAACAAAAAATTAAAACTAACCTTGTGGATTTTGCCAAAAGTTTGATAAATTTCAGTTTCAGTTGGAAAATTCATATGTTTAGATTTAAAAAATATAGAAATAGTATAGAGGAATAGACAACCTAAGATGGGTAGAAAACAAACTGACTGATTTGTTTTTTTACCCTGGGATTAAAGGGGCGTGGCCTAGTTAGGTCCCCTTATTATTAGGAGCGCGTGCACAATGTGAAGACGGGTTCTTGAAGGGTTTGACACATAATTGATAACTTTTTCGATTCGATCAAGATGGTCCCCCTCCTTCACCTTGGTAATTAATAAGAAGGTGAAGACGGGTTCTGAGAATCTGAGAAAAATGACCTAAAATGACTGAACCCTGTGGAAAATTGCACGAAAATAGGCGAATATTTATTAAAACAGACTTCTAAACGGATCAAAAAGGCTTAAAATAGGCTAGAGCTGGCTGAAAATTCGAGAAAAACTTGTTCCAAAAACTGACCTAATTTGGTCCACAATCCAGCTAGAAATAGGGGGTTGGCTTTAAAAAGTCCTAGGTTCATAAAATGTGGCTGAAAATGACTCCAAAAAAGTTAGAAAAAAGTTCATTTCGCAAACTAAAGCCAGTCTGAAATTTTTCGGAAAATTCACTGAAAATCGCTGAAAATAGGAAAAAACTTGACTAAAGTTTGGAAATTCAAAAAAATTCGTCTATAATGCCAAAAAGGCTGAAAAAACTTGAAATGAGCTATTTTTACTGAAAATTGTTCGCAAAAATGGTTCAAGTGGGTTTAAAAATGGCTTAAAATGAGCTCAAAATAAACGAAATTTATCTGAAAAATCTTCAAAAAATTGTCCAAAATCATCAAAAAAAAGTTGAAAATAAAGTGGCCAAAGTGTATCAAAAACAGACGATAAATAGCTTAAAATGAACAGAAAATGACTGAAATTCGTCTGAAAATAATCAAATTCGTCTGAAAATAATCGAACAATGTGGACTTTCTGATTATTTTTGAAATTTTATCGATTTTTAGAAACTTTATGGAATTTTCAGAAATTTCGAATTATGATTTTTTTTTGGATTTTTCGAATTTTTAGAACTTTTGAATTTGGAAAATTTTAAAAATTTTCCACGAATTTTTTATGTAATTTTCCACGATGACATGACATTTTCACATTTTTGCGAGTCTTAATGATAACTTGGTGTGAACATATTTCAGATTTTTTTCAAAATTCTGCTTCAAAAAGCTTTTTTAATTAACAATGTCTATTCTGAGAAAGAAGAAGAAAAAACAAGAACGAGAAAAAGTACTCTTTTATTGGACATAAAAAGAAGGACCAAAAAAGGTGAGTTGCATTTCGGCTGGTTGTGTGTGTGGGGGTTCTTCTTTGCAATCGGGCCGTCCATCTTATGGTCCGAGGTAGCAAGATTGGTCAGTGCGGGCCTTGAATACTTGTTGTCCTGGGTTGGCGGCCCCTCCGGATCCTCCTTGATTGTTGTTGTTGGCTCCTCCACCGGATCCTCCAGATGCGTAGTCCTCACGAGCGTATCCAGACGACGAGGCATTGGATCCCATGTAGCCAGAGCCGTATCCACCAGCGCTCATGTAAGCCGACTTGTCCGCCATTTCGTTGTATTGAGTGGTTTGGGTTGTTCGGAGAAGAAGAAACTTGCTCAGAATACTGTTCTTCTGGTGTTTGGGCTCGCCTTATATGCACTGAGATCTAGGGTAAAGATAAGGAATCTAGTCAGGGTTACGTAGAGATTAAAGAAAAAAAGACGGAAAAAAATTGATATCGTTCACGCGGATTATTAAAAATAAAGTTTTTTTTGAATTTTTTATGATTTTTCTAACTGCGGCTGAAATTTACAATTTTTTTAAATTGAATCAAGTTTATTAACCAACGAGAATTATTTGCTGAAGTAATCGGCTGGCTCTCCATCACTGAAAAAAAATCATTTAATTGTATAATTATAGGTCAAGCTAACTTTGAACCTCATTATCCCGTTTTCTGTAAAAGATTGACATTATGATAAGTTTTTAGTAAGTTGACCACTTTTAGACTTTTAGACCATCAAGGAAATGAGATATATGGGCTGAAAGATTGACGGTTGAGGAAGGAGGTCAATTAGAGTGATCCCGGTATCTGGGTTACTGTTAAAAGTCTTCAAAAATCGAAACTAAAATAATGTTAAGAATATTATTATGACACATTTTTTTTAATTAACGACTTGAATTCATTCCCAGGAACCGGTATAATATTTTTGAACATTGCTACCGTAGACACTGATGAAACGGAACCCCCCCCCCCCCCCACACTCTTAAGCCGTTAGCTTTTGAGTTTATATATCTAACTTTCGGTAATAGTTATCAGAAAGTGGTCAACTGACAAAATTTTTATCATAATATCACCAGCATTATCTCAGTTAACAAAATTTATATGTATTTAACAGGAAACGAGATAAAAGCTATTCTATTAGAGTATTGACCTACCAATAAAACCCGCTAATTGCTGTTTTATATAATTTGCAAGCCAATTCCGATGCATTGATATGTGCTGTTTCCCATGTGTCCGGTAGTTGGTATTCAACTCCAAATGGATATTTTGTAATGTACCATTTCATATCTTCACACACAATTCCAAATAATTCCATGAGATTCACAAACTTTCCAGTTCTTCCAACGTCTCTGTTTTCAGCATTTATCCACTAAATCACTGATATTTCAAAGCACTCACAAAGGTTCTTACCATAGAAGAACTCGGTGGATGAGGGCGAGTTGGAATTTCAGTATCCTCCCAGCCAACGACGAAATAGGTCTGATTAGACATCTCACATGTCAAGTTTCTAGTACAACTGGGTCCTTCAGACCAGAATAGATGGATATTGGTACTTCCATCCTTCATAGGCTAAAAAACTCTTTTTAATTCAATAATTGAGCCAGCCAATCTTACGTTGATAGTTCTCTGTGATATTAGGACACAAACATAGGTTTTCATCTTCATCGCATCCGGCAGAAACCAGTGGAAGAAGGAAAAGTAGAATCAGGAAATTCTTCATGTTGAGTGGAATATGAACTTTTTTGGTTTTCTTTTATAGTTTGCTCGTATGCTTAGACGGTTTAATGGGACGGTCTGGATGTTGATATTTTGAAAATGTCCATTGAAATTGGTTTTCGGCTGTGAAAAATAAACAGTGCAAAGGAATATTAGAGACACTTCTGGAAACAAATGTCAAAAAAATGAAATAGAAGATTTGAAAGAAAGTATGTTCCAAATGAAAGTGTCAGCGTTTCATGATAATTATAAATTATGATTTTCAGAATGTCCGACTATATGGAGAAGAGAGAAGCTCATAAATTATACAAAAAAAGTGTTTTCTTTGATTTTGGCCATTTTCAGGAGTCTGGAGCTCGGCTATCAAGTTATCAATCACTTTGAAATTTTTTGGACGGTGTAAACCAGACCTAGATTGAAAACTTTGCACCCACAGAATTTTTTGAAAACTCTTATTTTTTTGAGCTCTTTACAAATTTCTGAAAGTTTACGTTTTCAGTACAAAACCAGGTCAATAAGAGGTGTCCTCCGGAAATCGGCAAATAGCTGAAAAACTAGGAATTTTCAAAAAATCCAATGAATGCAAAGTTTTCAATCTAGGCCAGTTTAACAACCTCCAAAATTTTCAAAGTGATTGGAAACTTGACAACCGAGCTCCAAACTTCTGAAAATGGTCAAAATGACCGAAAATCAACAAATCATGCGTTTTTGTATATCTTATTGACTGTTTGTACTAAAAATAACAAGAAAATAAATTTTAATTGACCAGATATTTGCCAAATTCCATTTTGATGAGTAATTCCGTTTTTGCCTTTTCTGAAAATCTTACTCTAAAATCGTTTATCTCTCATTTTGATTTTTTTCCAATAAATTGTCAAATACAAAACTAAAACTCTAATAAAAAAATTCTGTAAATTTTCTTCAGGACTTCAAAGCTGGCTATTTTTCAGCGAAAAATGAAAACATCTTTTAGTCCGGGTACTGTATGGGTGTAGAACATCATGAATTCTGTTATCTGAAAAAGAACGTTTTTCCAGTTTGGAAAATTTAATCTGACCAGCCCTTCCCTCTTTTTGCAAGAGGGTAAACTACGTAAAAGGGTGAGAACAGGATGTTATGTGCAAATACGATAATAAGTATTTTTATCATTACTTCCTCTCCATCGTCATAAAATATAAAACTGTCATAAGTGTTCCAATTTCCTCTTTTGTCATCAAGTTTCTTTTCTTAAATAAGTTCACAACTTCCTATCAGCTGAGGAACTTAATACCAATCAATAAATTCTTTGTTCTTATCAGTAGACCTTCTTCATTCTACTCAGCACACACCTATTTATTTTCTCATTACATTCCTATTATTCCTTTTCTGTTTTCTCATTCTTATTTTCGGATTTTGAGTGGTAAATTCCATTTTATGCTGCCATTTAGCTCAGTGGAATTGACTGAAATCTCTGTGGATGATCTTGAATTAAAATGGGAATGTTTGGAGCAGTTCCGGTTGGGTCGTGGCGGATTTGCCGATGTTTTTCATGTATTTTACAAGGGTTATGTGAGTTATGAAGACATTTTGTGGTCTTGAAAATAATTGTGTTTTTCAGGATGCAGTATTGAAAAAACCCAGAAAAGACTACGACGTAAGAGAAAGAGGTTAGTTGTTTTTTATGTCCCAAATTGCTAATTCTGAAAAAAACCAAAAAAAATTTCAGTAGAAACACTTCGTGAAGCTAGAATAATAGCAGCTTTGTCGAATTGTGAAAACGTTGTTCGACTATATGGAATCTGCGAATTCTTTCCGTTTTGTGGAATGATAATGGAATACTGTGCGGGTCCGAATCTCTCAGACCTCGTCTTCAAATTATTTGAATCTGAAGTGAAATTGGAAACGATTCGAATATTCAAATGGTGTCATGCTCTAACTAAAACCCTTTGCGAACTAAATACAACTCATTATCATGGAGATGTAAAGGCTCTGAATGTGTTGGTAAAAGAGCGTCCATGCTGTTGTCAAGATGGAAAATATGAGGATGTACTCGTAAGTGATAGGGTAAGAGATTACTGTAGAAAAACTCTTTATTTTAAGTTGAGGTGTTTTAGACATACAAACTATGCGTTGACTGTAAAGGTGTACATTTGGAATATCTTTCTTTGAAGTTATGCGATTTTGGAATGGCTGGAGAGCACGGAACTAGGAGGAGATTGTAAGAAGAGATCCTTTAAAATTTATTTTCTTCAAAAACATATTTTAAGTCCTGGAACACCAGAATTCTCAGCGCCGGAAACCGAAATGAAAGGAGAATATACAGAAAAATCGGAAGTTTATTCATTTGGACATTTGATGCTTCAACTAGTCATAGGGATGCCAACGGATCAGTGTGCACCGGGACAAAGACGATTTTTGGAATTGTATAACAACAAAAAGTATGATTTGTCGCGAATTCAGTCTAATTCTATCTGTGAGACTATAACTTGGTGCTTGGTAAGATTTTCAATGTTTTATAAAAGTTCCGAAACCCAATATTATTTTCAGGATAAGGTACCAGAAAACCGACCAAAATTCACGGAACTTCTCGATAAACTGAATAACCGTTTTGATCATTACACATCACTGCGGGACAATCGAGATGCAGCAGCTAACAAGGAAAGAGAGGAATTTTTGGATCATTATAAACTTTCTAGAAAGATTACAATGGCTCAACGAACAATCACAACTTCTACTTTTTTGTCAATTTCAACAGATGATGAGTCGAATTCACAATCGGATATTCCAGCCATGTTTCATGGTGGACCATTGGATAATGATGTTTTGTGAGTTGAGCATTTTTTGTGGATTGCCCAAATTGGGCGCATAATTCGGAGGATACAACGATTCGGGGGTACAAGAAGGTGCAAAGTGATTTAGGGTACAAAATCCGTATCTAGTATATCGGGTCCGGGCGCGTTGAGCTAAATTATCTCAGTTTCTGTCAAAGATATCAACAAATTTTTAAATGATAAAATATTTACCATATTATCACCAATGTTTTATCAGTTGACGGATTTTTGATATCTCTGATATGAACGGAGATAATCAAAGTTAAAGTTCAAGTGTAGGATGACTTTCTACTGGAGCATTTCTGGTGAGTTTGGCCTAATTTATCTTGGTTGTTGGAAATGGTATCAAAAATTAGTCACCTGATGAACTATTTATCATTATATCACCAATATTTTATCAGTTGACAGTTTTTTGGTATCTTTCCCAGAAATCAAGCAATTTTTTTGTAATATTCAGTTTTTTCACATAATTGCTCAAAAAATGTCGTTTGCGATCTTTCCAAATGCGATTATACTAAACCCAAGAAACTACAACCCTGCTTGCTAATTCGTAAACTACAGTAATCCTCTTATCGTTATCATTTATTTCCAGCGAAGAAAGTCCTCTTCCCTCTCCAACAACTTCTCGAAAATTTGGAGAAGGCTTCGAATTGACAAGGAACTTTGTGGAGAATTCAATTTACATGGGAGACGAGTGGGTTTCTAGGAAAAAAGTAAACGTTCCGGCGGCAACTCAAATAACTCAAATAGTTTCAGAAGTAGCCGAACTTTCATTCTGCCACCAAAACGACGGAGAACGAATTTCATGCTAAAGTATTTAGTACAAGCAAAGGATTTAATCAGTTCAAAGGTTTGATTGAAATTGAAGGTTTTCCTGAAAGATTTGTTTTCAGATAAATAGATTGGTCAGACGAAGACACTGATGGGTACAAGATGCATAAAATGGGTTGATGTTTGGGTTACAAGCTTTACTTTTTCGATTTTCATTTTGTTTACTTTCTCCAGACCTGTTATAAATTCAATAAAATTTTATTAGATTCCATATGTTTCATCCGGTCAAAGCACAGACTTTCCATGTATAAAATAAAATGGAAAATCAGAAATAACATGACCTAAAAATAAAAATCGGTATAATCTTGCTATGTATTCTTCCGTTTGCCCTTGCTGGTTGTAAAAACAAAATATCTGTCTGCTCTTGCAACAATATTACATCAGAACACTATCAGCGTAATCGGAGCCTATTCAATCGAAAATATAAAAAAATATATTTTTAGCCAATTATGGAATGGAATGGACTGATCAGCCAGATGGACTTTTATTTCATAAAGATGGAGCTGGATGTAAAAGAGAACGTGCTGTAAGGGTTCTTTCACTTATTTTGAATCCAATTGGATAGATACAACGATTCCCCCACCAGACTATGCAGATGATACTGGAGTTGTAGGTTACAGTAATTTGAAAATGTATCAAGTTTTTTTGTACCAAGAACGTTTTAAAGGAGGGGAGTTGTTTCGGCCATTTTTAACATTTTCAGGAGTCTGGTGCTCGGTCGGCCAGTTCCTGATCGCTTTGAAATCTTTGGAGAATGTAAAACAGACTTATATTGATTTGAATTCACTGAGTTTTTTGAAAATTCCTAGTTTTTCCGCTAATTGTCGGTTAATCTAAGACATCTGCTTTTTCACGTTTCTAGTACAAAACCAGGTCAAAAAGAGGTGTCCTCCGGAAATCGGCAAATAACTGAAAAACTAGGAATTTTCAAAAAAAAATTTGTGAATGCAAAATTTTCAATCTATGCCTGTTTTATACCCTCAAAAATTTTCGAAGTGGTCCGACACTTGACAGCCGAGCTCTAAACTTTTGAAAATAGTCAAAATGGCCAAAAATCAACTGGAAAATACATTTTTGTAGATTTTATTGACCGGTACTGTATACGAACGGAATTTTGAGAAATATTTTTTTCATATCACCCCACCTTCAAGCTAATCATCTTTAAAAGTTATTCCAGAAAATTCTGTCCCAAGACCTAGAAACATATTCCATTGGACCGTATGTTGAACTACAAGAATTATTTGGAATTGTATGTGAAAACTCTAAATGGGTCATTACAAAAGATCCATTTGGATTTTCGTATATGAAAAAAGGAACAGGAGAAGAAATACAAATCCCAGGAGAGGAAATGACATCGAAGACCTACAAGACATTTGTGAAGAAGTTTTATTGGTGAGTTTCAACTGAAAAAAACAGGAAATTTTATGTTCCCTTTTAGCGATGGATAATTCAACTTCCTTATAATTTTCTTAAGAATTGTTTTGGTGCCTTTTTCAATGAATATCAGTCGTTCTTTTTTTAATATAACTAAACCATTCAGGAACCATTCAAAAAAAGTTGCTATACCGAGAAAAGTTTATTCATGTGCATGCAATAAAATTAACAAAACTGAAAATTTGGTGGGTGAATTTGAATGGGCAACCGACTCGTAATGATAATGTAAATTTTTGTGAAGAAAAAAACACATTTTAAATATAAATTAATCTTGCTTCACAGCTGTCTTTTTGTCCTTTTTGACCAGGTAGGCATTGTTGAAGAAGCTGGAGAAAAGGACAAGGAAGGAGGCATAGATTCCAAAACTGAGGGCAAGATTGTCGTAGGATTGTTGGCACATCTGGAAAATTGAAAAATATAAATCTGAATTTAGAAGTTTGTCGTCTATAATGAAGTTAACATCTGACAATTTTTTTCTTAAAACTCGAGCTGTATTTGCTCAAATTGAAGCAAATCGAACCGTCAACTTTGAGCTCAATTATCTCGGTTCTTATAATATATATCAAGAATTTGTCAATTGATAAAATATTGGTGATATTATGGTAAATATTTTATCAATTTACCTTTTTTTTTAAATCTCAAATAGGAATCGAGATAAATTGCTTGAAAGTCACAAAGGCGACGCTGGTCGGCTGAGCTACGCGGCGGCCTCTTAACTTTGAGCTTAATTATCTCAATTCCTGTAAAAGATATCAAAAAATGGTCAACTGATAAAATATAGGTTATAACATAATAAATAATTTATAAGTTGATTACTTTTTGATATATTTCACAGGAACCAAGATAATTGAGCTCAAAGATCACAGATCCAAACTACCAGAAAAAATCCAAGCTCACCTCTCCATTAAGCTTCAAATAAAGGACAATGCACGAGATTGAAACGCCAATGAGCATTTGGAGTGTTTGCAAAAAAGTAACTGTCATTGAAACTAATTTTGGAAGACGGTATCCAACGGAAGTGACTGCGTAGTAAGTGTACATGATGGAATGAACCAAGTAGTTCATGAAGATAAACCAGCGGCCAGGTGCGGTGAGTTCGATGGCTGAAAATTGAGGAATTAAGGAAAATACTATTTTGCTAACAACAAAATATAAGAAAGTAAGCTAGTAAGCTCTCTATAAGCTTTCTAGTACGCTAGCCAGTAAGCTAGCTATTATAGTAAGTTAGCTAGTAAGCTAACTCTAGCTAGCCCTAGTATATCTGTAAACTAGTGGTTCTTAGAAAGTCCCTAGAAAAGTTGTTCATATTTTGCTTTTTTGCTCATCCCTCCAAATTCTAAATGTAGCTATCTCCGTTTCGTCATTCGTATTTTGTAGCTCTTCTTCTCCTTTTCTACGACTCATCCGTCATATTCTTCTTCTTCGTTTCCATAGAGATGTCTCCATCCCTTTTTCCCTATTCTATGACATGTGTCCGTTTGCTTTTCCTCCTTCTTTTTCCCAGGAATACACCTAACAAGGAAAAGCATGAAGAAAGAGATCAAGATCAGAATTGGAATAGAGAAAAGAATTTGTTGCTTTTGCGGGAAAAAGGATACCCGAAAAAAAGGATACCCGATTCATCATTGTTTCAAACTAGAGAAAACAGTGAAACAAGAAAACACAAGATGATTGGAAGGATAGACAAAAAGATTTTTCTACGTCATCAGGAGTTTCGGAATCGGAAGAATCCTGAGAATCAGGACTACAGTAACCTATAGATACTGTAATTCAGAAGTCAGCAATTGGGACTAAATTGGATGCATCCTTATGAACACATAAATTAACGGTCATTTGGACGTACAAAAGCTTATTTTTCCGTGGATTTTCATACAATTTTCAGATGTCTGGAGCTGTCAAGTTTCAAATCAATTTGAAAATTTGGGAAGGTGTAAAACAGACCTAGATTGAAAACTTTGCATTCACATAATTTTTTTAATTAGTCCTAGTTTTTCAGTTATTTGCCGATTTTTGAAGGACACCCGTTTCTGTACCGAAAACGTGGAAAATGACTGTCTTACAGAAATTGGAAAAAAACCTGAAAAACAAGGATTTTTTGAAAAATTCTGTAAGTGCAAAGTTTTCAATCTAGGTCTGTTTTAAAAATTTTCAAGGCGATTGGAAACTTGATATCTAAATGTAAGCTCCAGACTCCTAATGGTCAAATCGACTGAAAATCAACTGAAAAATACGTTTTGTGTATTTTATTGACTGTAGGGAACTGTGTTCCTGATTTGGGCTTGAATTGAATAGATTGGGTGAATATCTGACTGAAAATGACAGCGAATTCTTTAAAAGTAATCCAAAAATCGTCAAAAAGCTATATTTTAGATTCCTGGAGTACTGTACTTTGAAGAAATGCGATCTAGGATACATTAAGATTACTGTAGCTAAGTATTGGGGTTAGAGGATTATACAGTAGGAATGCCCTAGATTACTATTATGCTGGACTACCGTAATTCTAGTGAAAATCCTCATGAACCCTTAGTTTCGATGGTCCCCCTTTTTCAGACACCTCACCTCTTCGGAATTATCTCGGTTCCTAGGAGAGATCACAAATTTATCAACTGATAAAATATTCATGATAATAACCCCAATATTTTATAAGTTGAAAAATTTTTGATATCTCCTAGGAACTGAGATAATTGGGCTCAAAGTGCACGTAAAGGATGCTCTTCTATTAGAGAAAATACGGTAAATTCGATGGTCCCTTTTCCAGACACCCCATTCTCTTGGAATATCTTTTTTCTAAAATCAGCTGGCTACAACATACTCTTTCCTCTTTGCATATTTAATATTTGACCAGACACCCTACAACAATTCTCTCTCTCTCTCTTTGATTCCTATATTTGCCTTTTAGCTTCCGAAAACTCCCTAATTCTCCTTTTCTCTTGTTACGTTATGTTTAGCCAATAGAAAACCAAAAATACCAGTCTCACTCCCCAATTCCTGCATCATTTTTATGTATGTCGTCATCAACAATGGACATTAGGGAAGAGAGAAAAGATATGATTTGAACTCTCATTCATTTCTCTTTTTAACTGGTATCTTTTAAAAGTCAACCGGTTTGAAATGTTTTTGTGTTTTTCAAAAGGTGAACATAGTTTGGTCATTTGGTTGTTTGACAAGATGACAAAAATCTGGAGAGTTTTTGGATTAAAACTTTTGGTGGGAAAATTATAGAAAGAGCTCAAGAAAAGTTGAGTATGTTCAAATGCTCAGAAAGCTGTCAATTTGGTATGATTTGATTAAATTTAGATGAAATTTTTGAATTTTAGTGTTTTTAGTAATGCATTACGAATTTCGGGTGTCTGAAAACATGGTAAAAACTGACGGAATATTCCACAAATTTTAGAAAATAAATGTGTTTCGAATACCGTTCTTAAAAATTGAATTGCACCAAAGACACTCTATCAAGTTTAAGCTCAATTATCTCGATTTCTGTGAAAGATATCAAAAAATTGTCATCTGATAAAATATTGGTGATATCATGGTAGACAATTTATCAGTGGCCAAATTTTTTATATCCCTCCCAGGAATTGAGGTAATCAAGACAGTTTGGGTGGGCTTCCAGAAGAGAAATTACGGTAGTTTCGTTTAGAACTCTTGAAAAACTTCTAGACAATTTTAAGTTCCCTGAATTTCACTAAAATTCTCCTTTTCAAACATTTCAATGCAATTGAAAATATTAAAATTTGTAAAAATTGACAAAAATTCTGAAATTTTTAGAAAATAATAGAACTCTTTGTAGTTTTTTGTGGCTGAAAATTTTTTTGTTCGAATTTTTTAATCACATTTTTGTGTATCAAAAGCTGCCAAATTAAAAAAAAGTATTTTGAAAAAATTTTCAGCTCCCTAAATTGTGTGATTTTCACTAAAATTCTCCAAATAATCTACTGTAAAACCTGTAATAGAATGTTCCCGACACTGGCCAACTTGAGATCAATTATCTCGGCTCCTATAAAAGATATCAAAAAATTGTCAATTGATAAAATATTGGTGATATTATGATGAACAATTTATCATTTATTTATGTTCTGATCTCTCTAAAAGCATCCACAATTCGTCTTTTCATGTCTCTCCCGTATTAATAAGGTGCCATCTGAACATCTTATAAAACTAGAACCCCCTTCTTTTTCTCTGTATACTTTGATCTTCTTTCCTTCCGAACACTTATGTCCTTTTTCTTTTGAGATAAAAGCCATTTGGTACAAAAAGAAAAGAAAAGGATGTTCTAATCCATCTATTTCTCTTTTCTCTTCACTCTATCCAGATGATTCGATCCGAATATGTCGGATGATGGAATCCAGTCTTTTAGAGATGATCAACTACACTACGCAACATTTGAAATTGGAATATAAAAAAAGAAATCAACGATCAGATAGATATCGGATCTCCGGATCTTTTAAAATAGAGACAAACAACAAAAATCTAAAGGATATGGTGTAAAAAATACTTGGTCGGGCCTGGCTTTTTCTAGAAGTTTCAAGTTGGGAATGCTAACTTACCAGCATGCCAAGAAAGAATCAGAACCACTGCATGATGGTACCAGTGAAGGAAAATCACTGGTCTTTTTCGGAGCACTAGGAACATGGTGTCTCCGAACTCGGCGATTTTCGATAGAGCGAACATGCATGCCCAGAATGCTGATGGCGATTTTGGATTCACTGCCAAACAGATCGAGTCGATGAATCCTCTGGAATTCATTTAATACTTTTTTTGGATTCTGGAATTTCAAAGTACCTTCTGAATACAGCATCGTAGAATTCGATTCCGAACCTCAACGTGCCCATAATACTGAATACTGCTAGGCATCCGTTCCAGGCAAGGAGAAGGGGACGCATACTGCAAAACTTGGTTTTTGAGAAGGACTACTAATAGAACCTTTAACTTTGAGCTCAATTATCTCAATTCCTGTCAAAGATATCAATAGTATGTTAACTGATAAAATATTGATAATATTATGATAAATATTTTACCAGTTGACAAATTCTTGACATCTTTTACAGGAACCGAGATAATTTAGCTGAAACTTGGTCGGCAGCAGCTCAGCCGGCCAGCGCCGCCTTTTTTACTTTCAAGATATTTATCTTGATTTTGATGAAAGATATCAAAATATTGTCAATTGATAAAATATTGGTGATATTATGATAATTAATTTATCAATTGACAGATTTTCGATATCACTTGCGGGAACCGAGATGAATGAGCTCAAAGTTAACGAACGGTACCGAAGTTAGCTACTCCTCTTACCTTTTTGGTTTCCTCGTCTCCATATATTTTTGCAATAGATTTGTGGCAATAACATAGGCTAGTGATAGATACACCGATTTGAACCAGTGATTTTTGAAGAAGGTGTGCATTGTCAAATCGTCCCACCACGACTCGATGAGCCACGTGGATTCGTATTCGAATGGTGAGTAGATGATGGTCTCATTGTTGCCGGTCCACACTTTGAACCTTTCTGATACTTCTGCTGACATTTCTGGAAATAGAAAAATATTGGAAACAGGGATAGTGGACAAAAAAAAAGTTGTAAAGATGGAGATTGAGATTCAGTCAGTTTGACTTCAAGTTTCTATGTTTTGCTGTAAAGTTTGAACTCAATTATCTCGGCTCCTATAACGGATATCAAAAAGTAGTCAACTGATAAGCTATTTATCATAATATTAAATATATTTTGTTAGTTGTACACTTTTTGATATCTCTTACACGAACCGAGATAAATCGTTTCAAAGCCAAAAGGCGGCGCTGAACTACGCGGCCGCTACCGAGCTCGTAAATTTGAGGTCAATTATCTCGATTCCTTTAAGAGATATTAAAAATTAGTCAACTGACAAAATGTTTCTCATAATATCAAAAACATTTTATCAGTTGAAAATTTTTTGATATCTTTCGAAGGGACTAAGGTAATTGAGCTCAAAGTTAAAAGTTCTGGGGCCTCTCTATTTATTACAGGTTCTAAAGTCTACAATCGGTTTCTTTGGGAGATTTTTTATTCAAAACTTAAAATGACTGAAAATGAGTTTCTTATATCAGTAATATAAAGATATTCAATGTGAGAAGTGTTTGAAAAATTATGATAAAAATTATATAAGTTTCTAGTATTTTATCTCCCGCATGGACCGAAGGAAAAAAAATCATAAACTCTGAAATTGAAATTTCAGCCAAAAAACCCTAACAAGACTGAAACACACATTCATACATATATCAGAAACCACAAATTGATTTTAGTGTTTCTCTCGGTTATCAAACCGTGGTGCACACATATCATAACTGATAAGAGAAGAAACTGTTCAAACAGTGAAAAAGGTCGATGTGTCTTTTTTTTCTTGAAACTTTTCTCTAGGTGATGAACTGTAAAATAAAATGTGGCGTGAAAAATGAGAAGAGAGAGATAGGCGAAAGTGGGTCGATTTTTTGAGAACAGAGAAGAGGAATTGTTATGGAAATTAAGTTGGAAAGGGAATTCCGGGGAAGAAGGCGTTGACATGGCGATCAATTGACAGAATTTGGAAAAAGCTTGAGGTGGCCTAGAAAGCATTTTGTGGGAATTAGGTCACAAAAAACTCAAAAGAATCTGGAAGTTTTAAAATTTAAACCTACCCAACTTTGAGCCCAATTATCTCAATTCCTGTGAGAGATATTAAAAACTTGTCAACTGATAAAATATAGGAGAAATAATAATTATTAATTCATCAGATGACAACTTTATGATATTTTCAACAGGAATTGAGATAATTGAGTTTAGAGTTAAAATATTGGCCAGCGCTACCTTCTTGACTTTCAAGTAATTTATCTAGATTCCTGTGAGAGATATCAAAAACTTGTCAACTAACAAAATATAGCTGATATTATGATTAACATTTTATCAGTTATCATAGTTTTGATATCTCTCACAGGAGTCGAAATAAGTGGGCTCAAAATTAACGATTTGGGCGGGCTTCTTGGATTGGTTGAGCGGAAGAGGAAATAAGAAAAATGACTTTATTCTGGGGTTCTTATGTTTGGAATTTCAGTACGAATCTTAGAATTGGATTCGGAGGAATGCCGTAATTTGTTAAAAGGATCTTTTTAAAACAGAAATCTGCCAAACGACATGAAACTGATACTCAACACAAACCAAATCAGACGTGCTAATGGCTATCATAAAACAGCCAAATAGAAGAATCCCGAAAAAAGGAAAATGGCTATTCGGAATCCCGAAGAAAAACACCAACATCTCCTCTCTTTTCACTTGAACCAGTCGTCAAGGTGCGATACGTCTTCGCTTATTCTGAATGGCAGAATGGACGCCCGAATTCGACGGAGGCACCGCCCACTTTTCCGTCCTCCTTTCCTAGCCTCCCCTCCATCTTTACATAAACTATGTACTACTAGCAACCGGGAGGAGACACACGTTATATGAAAAGTGCAGTTGGCGAGAGAATGTAGAGCCAGTGGAGACGCAGAGAAATAGAGAGAAGAAGAACTGTATGATTGGAAACAGATGGTGGGAGTGGTTTCATTTTTATATTCAATGTTCACACATTTTTAAAAGATTAAAGCGGATATATAGTCGTTTTGAAGTACTTTAAAACCAGTGTTGTAAAAGGTGTAATTTGGTTTAAAAAAGCGGTCCACGAGGTTTGAAATACACAAAATCGGTTTCGTATGAAGTTTGGACCCTTTTTGTGTGATTTTTCCAGAAAAAACCACGGTGTTTTCATGGGAACGTCTTGTAAATGCGCTATTATTCTTGTGTGGCGCCGATGAAGCCGACAGTTTATTGAAAAGCGCATAGCCAGTCCTCAAGCAAAATCAGTTACGGTTTTTACAAATAACTTCATGCGCCTTTAATACAGTAATTCGGAATTATTTTATTTTTACCTATTTCCCTCAGTTTTTTTGCTTTTTTCGTTTAAATTATTCAGATTCTCATGATTAGTTAGCTGAATTCCCAAGAAAAACTTCAAATGGATCAAGATAAAACAATTCCGAAGTACTGTATCAAAGGCGCAAGAATTCATTTGTAAAAACCGTAGATGTTTTGGACCGACTAAGTGCCTTGAAAGGAATTTTCGGCCACAAGGTTCATCGCGCCGTACAAGAATAATAACCGAAATCCGGGGTAAATGAACATTTGATTTTTGGCTGAAAATGAGCTTTAAAAAAGCGAAAATCTGGAAAAAAAATGTGTTAAAAATCTCAAAATTTGATAAAAATTGTCGAAAATTCATCAATTTTGACAAAAAGAAATCAAACTTTTCGAAATATCGATTTTTACTGAAAATGAGCTGAAAATAATCTGAAAATCTCGTAAAATTGGGTGAAAATGGCTAAAGAATTGGGTGAAAATCACAACATTCAACAGAAAAAATCGACCGAATTTCAACAAAAATTTGAAGTTTTCGGAAATTAACGCGAGATTTTCAGCCGAAAATCTCGGAAACTCAAAATTTAGGTTTTTGCAAATTCGGTCGATTTTCTGTGGAATTTTGTGGTTTTTAGAACATTTTCACTCAATTTTTTAGTTTTTTGGCTCATTTTTCGAAAATTCAAGTTGTTTTCAGCACATTTTTGAAAAATTCGAAAATTAGGTTTCCCATTTTTTATGACATAACGATGAGCTCATTTCAAAGTCAGAGTTTTCTTATCAGTACTAGTACTCCCCTAGTTCGTACTAACCTAGTTTTTTGCGGGAAAATCCAGAAAAACGGAATGGCACAGAAAAGTTTCCAAAGAAAAATGAAAAGCGTATGTGTGAGTGTGTGGGAGAGCCTCGTAGTCTCAACGCGATCTTGGTCAATATTTGGCTCCATTTTGCCGTCGTTTTCCCTTTTCTCCAATGTTAAAGACTGTTCGTACTGACGGAATGGAAGAACTCGAAAGGACAAATAAAGAGAGGATAGTAGAGGGAAGAAGAAGAGAATGCGTTCTATGTGATAAGAATATTCTTATAGTTAGAAGGAGAAAACTGCAAAAAAGAGAGAGAGAGAGATGCGTCATATGTGAATGACGAGTGGAAAGGAAATCGAAACATAGTGAAACTTCGAACTTTTATATTGTTGGATTTTTGATTCACAGGGAAGAAATGTCGAAAACAACAAAGTCATCAAACTCTAAATACAAAACTTTTTTGCAAAATTAAAATTGTTCGGCAAATGAATCTTTCATTGTTAGTGGTGGCTGATCATCGTTCTCAACGACCTCATCCGGTACTGTCTCCGGCAATTCATCTTCTTCGACTTCTTCTTCTGCCACGTCATCTAAGGCTTCAACCACGGCATCATCATCATGCTCCTCATCATGCTCCTCTTCGTGCTCTTCTTCTTCTACAATCGTCTCCTCCGCCACAGTCTCATCTTGACTGGAATTCGGTTTCCGCTTCTTGGGCTGCATTTTCGGCCACCCATCGAGTGCATCTTCTAGAAAAGCGAATTCCCACATCTTCTTGATCGCCTTGTCTGCAAATTTCAAATATTTTTTACTCCCAAAATATCGCTACACCCACCAATATCCTTTGGCTGAATCGTTTTTCTCTTCTCAGTCAACGCATTCTGATTTGCGGCATTACTGAGCTCTTTGATGAACAATTCCTGAAAAAAAATCAATTTTTAGGTCAAAATAAAGCTTTTCCGGCTTACCGCTGACTTTGTCATCATTTGCAAAGCCTCTGCATTCAGCATTTCAACGTCTGGATTCAGTCTGACAATTTTCTTCACTCTTCCCAGTGGGAGTTGTGTTTTAACCAAGTCCTGGACTTTCTCCTCGATTGCATTTACTTCGTCTTCGCTGATCGGTACGATTGGCACATTTTTCTTGCTCTTTTTACGCCAGGCCATGCTGAATTTGGTTTGAAGAATTTGGTTAAAAATTAGGTATTGTCCGAATTATAAAACTGCGACTTCGGTGTA